TTTTTTTTTTTTTTTTTTTTTTTGATACTGGGGATTGAACTCAGGACCTTGCACTTATGGGGCAGGCATGATGCCACTGAGCTAAATCCCCAGCCCAGGACCATGTCATTTTAATGATGTTGGTATGGAGGAAGTCATCCTCGGTTTTTTTTTTTTTTTTGAGACAAGTCACACTGTGTAGTTCAGACTGGCCTTGAACTTCTGGCTATCCTCCTTTCTCAGCCTTCCAAGTGCTGGGATCATAGGCATAAGCCACCACACCCCACTTTTCTGGCAGCTTTTTTTATGGAACGGAGCTTTTGCTATAACACTGAAGTCAAGGAGAGCCATCCTTTATTGTTTTGTTGTGGCACTGGAGATTGAAACCAGGACCTTCACCTAAGCTACCTCCCAAGCCTTCTTTCATTTTGAGACAGGGTCTCACTAAATTGCTGAGTTGCCCAGGTTGGTCTCAAATTTGGGATCCTCCTGCCTCAGGCTCCCAGAGTGCTGGGATTACCTGCGTGCACCATCATGCCCAGCCCAGCCCAGCCCAGCCTGTATTTAAGCAGCTGAGAATGGAGACGCTAGAGCAGTGGTGAAGCTATGGGACGCGGGCCACAGCAGGCTGTTTGATATCCCTGAAAGCTCTAAAAGCATCACTGCAGTAGAGGGACCTAGAATTAGAGAGCTGAAGATTGGTCAGACGGGTCCTTGGGCCACTATTAACAGCCTCCCCATCCCTGTATGCACACAGGAGACACAGCAGGTCCCCACGGAGGAGGTCTCCTTGGAAGTGCTGCTCAGCAATGGGCAGAAAGTGTTGATCAATGTGCTAACTTCAGATCAGACTGAGGACGTCCTGGAGGTGAGGTGCTTGTTGGGCACTGCCCCTGCACCCCAGGTCCTGGGCTCAGGACCATTGGAACCAGCCAGTAGAACAAGCTGTACTTCCTGATTCCAGGCTGTGGCTGCAAAGCTGGATCTTCCAGATGACTTAATCGGATACTTTAGTCTCTTCCTTGTTAGAGAAAAAGAGGATGGAGCCTTTTCTTGTGAGTTTCTCTGGACTTTACTACTTCCTTGTGCTTCCCAGAGTGACTTTTGGTCTCTCGGTTTCCCTTCAGAATAGTACACTTCCTCAGGTTGCTTCTTTCTTGGTTTCAAGTCTCATCATATTTTCCTTTTTTGTTTTGTTTTGTTTTGTTTTAACCTGTAGTTGTACGGAAGTTGCAGGAGTTTGAGCTGCCTTATGTGTCTGTTACCAGTCTTCGGAGTCAAGAGTATAAGATTGTGCTAAGGAAGAGGTCAGGGCTGGGCCTGAAAGGGGAAGGGTGCTGGGTTGGATTACTAGGCCACATACTGAGACACAGTAATCTGAAAGGGGCAGTAGTGCTGGGTGTTTCTAGCAGGCCTCCCAGGCTTCCTCCCCTATGTCACCATTACCCCTGCTAGTTCCACATTGCTCCTGTTTCCCCCCTCTTTTCCATGCTTCGTCTTGTCTTACCCCAGCTTAGCCCCATTACCCCTTTCCACCCCTTGGCCTCACAGTTATTGGGACTCTGCCTATGACGACGATGTCATGGAGAACCGGGTTGGCCTGAACCTGCTTTATGCTCAGGTGAGCTTGGAGCTGCCTCAGAACCCTTGCCCTAAAGATGACTCACTTCCCACTCTCCCAGAAAAACTCCTTTCATATTCTTGTTCCCAATTCATGGGGAAGTTACTATCAGGGCTTCTGGCACAACCTCTACTCTCCCTACTCTGTAAGCCAGTAAGGTCAAAGTCTCACTGCAGAAGTCACTCAGATGTGGGACTAGGCTCAGGCTGGTGGTCAGAGCTAACTGTGGACACTTTCCTGGAGCCACTGACTGGCATCCCATCCCACTTCCCTACCCGTCTCCACTGTAGACGGTGTCAGATATTGAGCGTGGGTGGATCCTGGTCACTAAAGAGCAGCACCGGCAGCTCAAATCTCTACAGGAGAAGGTCTCCAAGAAGGAGGTGAGCTCTGCCTTGCTGTCTCCCTCCAGAAGGTTGCTGTCTGAGCCAACCCGCCTCCTTCCTAACCCACAACACATGACCATTTTTTAGTTCCTACGGCTGGCCCAAACTCTGCGCCACTACGGCTACCTGCGCTTTGATGCTTGTGTGGCTGACTTCCCAGAGAAGGATTGTCCTGTGGTAGTGAGCGCAGGCAACAGTGAGCTCAGCCTCCAGCTCCGCCTGCCTGGCCAGCAGCTTCGCGAAGGCTCCTTCCGGGTGACCCGCATGCGATGTTGGCGGGTTACCTCTTCTGTGAGTAGAGTGGATGGCCTTCTGGGGTGGGAGTCTGGCAAAGCCTGAGCTTCGATATGGGCTGTCATGCAGATAGGCCAAAATGAAGTTAGTCATAATTCCCCTTCCCCTCCTAGGTGCCACTGCCCAGCGGAAGCACAAATAGCCCAGCCCGGGCCCGGGGTGAAGTACGCCTGGAACTGGCTTTTGAATACCTCATGAGCAAGGACCGGCTACAGTGGGTCACCATCACCAGCCCCCAGGTGTGAGCCACCTTCAGGCCTCCTCTGGGGCCCTGTAGATATACAAGGGCTTCCAGGATTCCATAAGTGGGAGCCCATCTTAGGGGTGCTGGGCTCAGGATGACCTTGAGCTCTTCTTACCCTCAGGCTATCATGATGAGCATCTGTTTGCAGTCCATGGTAGATGAACTGATGGTGAAGAAATCAGGGGGCAGTATAAGGAAGGTAAGCAACAAGCAGAGATTCATCAGCTGGATCGTTGTGCTCTTCCTGCCTTTTGTCTTAGGGGCCAGCCTTCCCTTCAGAAGGAGGGAAAGTAATGTGAATCAAAAGGGAGTGATCTGCTCTCACTAGTGTTGTGTGTCCATCCCTAGATGCTGCGCCGGCGGGTGGCGGGCACCCTGAGACGCTCAGACAGCCAGCAGGCAGTGAAGTCTCCACCATTGCTTGTAAATATCACCTCCCATCAGTACCCTGGCTTCCAGCTTTCCTTCCTCTCCAGTGTCTGACATCTCTGCTTCTCTTCCCCAGGAGTCACCTGATGCCAGCCGGGAGTCCGTGGCCAAACTCTCAGTGAGTTACAGGGTGGTAAGGTTGGTGTCTGTAGAGGCCTCACAGGCGTGAGCCTTCTGACGCCTGCCCTGCCTGTGTTGCAGAGTAAGCTGAGTGCTGTGAGCTTGCGGGGGATTGGCAGTCCCAGCACAGATGCAAGTGCCAGTGATGTCCATGGCAATTTTGCCTTCGAGGGCATTGGAGATGAGGATCTGTAATCCCCACTGCTTGGATGTGTGCCCTCTACCCCAAAGGAATTTACAGAAACTTGCCCTGTGCCTGTGCCACACCCCCCCGCCAAGCTAGGGAGTTTTCCTTCTCCCTTCTTACCCCACTTTTCTCCTTTTGGCCAGGGGCCTCCTAACCCACCTCCCTTCCCCTTTGGGCTGGCTGAACAAAGAATCATCCCCTTTTTTTCACAGCTAGCCCTCAATGCCAAATTAACATTTAGTATTTTGCACAAAGTCTAAGGGACCATGGGTACCTGCCTTGGGGAGGAACCACAGCTTCCCCTTGGGCTGCTTCTGGCTTCTTGGGGCCATGGGCAAGGGGATGGGCAGGTCTGTGTATGGTCTGGCCCAGTTCCCCATCATTAAACTCAGCCTGACTGCTGCCTACCTCTGGTTCCCTCTCACTGGCCCTGCTGCCCCATCACAGCATGGTCTGCTGTACTAAGGGGAGGCAAACTGCTAGCCTTCGCCAATTCAGCATAGACATGGCTCTGTTAGTGTTTCCTTTATTATAAAGCACTGAAATAAGTTAAATAAACAGGTAAGAGGCTGGGCAGTCCCCCAGCCACTTCATCCACAGCCCCTGGGAGCAGTGGAGGTGAATACAAGGCCCTTCTCACTGAGCTCATGAAGTGCATCAGTCAAGGCAAGGCCCCCTGGTCCATATGGGCCCCTGCCCATGGTTTAGGCTGGTCCATATATTGCCTAGGTTAGTCTGTGTGGAGCCCCTGGCCAGCGGGGGGAAGAAGGTGGCTTCTGGTCCGTCTGTATAAAACGCAGGAGGGGCAAGGCTAATCCATAGGGCCCTGGGGAAAAAGGACCTAGTTCAAGGTGAGTCCGAATGGAGAGCCCGACTACCAGCAGCACCTAGGGCTGCTGAACCCCGAGTGTTCAAAACAGAAGGTGGGCTGTGAGGTGGGGCCCAACCCTCAGAGGCAGAGAGGCCAGGCCCTCCTGCCCCACCATGGCCATGCACCTTCTGGTGGCGCTTGTAGTTGTCCCAGTGACCTGTGGTATAGGCGCAGGTAGCACAGCGGAAGGGCTTCTCGCCCGTGTGCCGCAGCATGTGGCGTTTAAGGTTCATGCTCTGGTTGCAGCTGTAGTTGCAAAGGCTACACCGAAAAGGTTTGTCACCAGAGTGGATGCGACCATGACGCTTGAGGTTGGCCAGGTTGCCACAGGCATAGGGGCAGAGGGGACACTTGTAGGGCTTCTCTCCTGTATGGACTCGCTGGTGCCGTTTCAGGTTATCCAGATGAGCCGAGGCGTAAGGACAGCGGGCACAGCGGAAGGGCTTCTCACCACTGTGTGTCTTCATGTGCCGGGCCAGGTGGTTAGGATAGTGCGTGGCAAAGGGGCAGAGGCTACAGGCAAAGCCTTTGTCACTGGGTCCCTGGGGTCCCCCACTGGCACCCCCTCCAGCCTCTCCTCGCATGCAGCGCCCACACATGGCAGCTCCCAGCCGACTACCCTCACCCTCCTCCAGCTCTTGTCCACAGCCTCGACAGGTCCAAGGAAACAGCAGTTCTGGCAGTGGTTCGGATCCAGTCCCACACAGGCCCTCCCCTTCACCCCGCAACTGCCCACAGTCTGGCAGGAAATTGGCACCACCTGCTGGCACGTGAAGACTCAAGTCTGGAAGGAGCAGAGCATCTGTAGGAACAAAGACCTGGGCTATTAATCTAAATATCCCTAGTGCCACCCACCACATCCCAGGATCGATAGTCCTTTGCTTTACCTTCAGGTCGCCGGGGCACTGCTCCCTCCTGCTCTGTGGGACTGGGAGGCTGGGTTGGTCGTGGAGCACAGCAGCGAAAGCCACAGGTTGGGCAGGGAGGAGTGGGGGGCCCGGCATGGGTGCGCTGATGCCGCCTCAGGTTGCCCAGGCTGCTGCAGGCAAAGGGGCAGTGGGGACAGCGGTAGGGCTTCTCGCCAGTGTGGGTGCGGGTATGTCGTGTCAGGTTGACGAGCTGGGCGGAGGCGTAGGGGCAGCGGCCACAGCGGAACGGCTTCTCCCCGCTGTGTGTCTGCATGTGCCGCTTCAGGTGGCTCGAGTAGTGGGACACGAAGGCGCAGAGGCGGCATGAGTACAGGAGCCGTGGGGGCAGCGGGGGCCCCCCACCCGGCCCTCCTGCCCCACAACACGGCCCCTCACCTGTCGGCCCCCCACACAGCTGACAGGCTGGGCCTGGCCTCTCACCCCTGGCCTCCCCTGGACCCCTGGCTGGCTCCTCAACTTCACTTTCGGCACTTGGTGCCCGGCCGCCCCCAGACTCCTCGTCGCTCAGCCCGTAGGGAAGCCCAGGCCTGGCCCCCAGACAGTCTCCTGGAGCGACACATGAGAAGAAACATCAACATGAGGCAGGGACAGGCGCCAGACTCCTGTTTTTACTTAGGGTCATGTTTGATTGGTGCTACATTTCTCTTAGTTTTGATGATCCCTTTAGTTCCCTCCCAAGGACTCCAAAATTTCATCATGAATTGTCCACTTCTGAGCCTGTGCTAATGAAGTGACAGCAGAGTTGAGATGTAACTAGTTCCACTGAGTGGAAAATATCAAGAGCTCACAGTGGACTACAAACAAACGAATCAGTATAACATTCTTGGAATAAAAGTAAAAACACAAAAGGCATAGACCTGTTTCTAAGCTCTGTACAATATGTTAAGATCCCGTTTAGTAAAGAGTTGATTATAAAACCCACCTCAAGAGGAAGGCAAACTTTGGAGGGAAGTACAAAAGTACAATGAAAGTTCTGCTTCCCCCACCACCAGAGCTGGGGACTTCATGCATACTCGGCAAAAATGCTCTACCACTGAGCAATAGTCCCAGCCCCAACAATGAAAGCAATGCATGTTATATCTAAAGGAGGCATTCTTTACATGGGTTTTCTCAATGACTGAAAAGCATTAGCAGGTAGGCAGTGCAGCAGATTAGCAAAGAATAATGCTGAGATCACAGAGGAAAGGAATGAGGAAGGATACTTAAGGGCAGAAATTAAAACCTCTCAGTACAAAAGGATCTTAAGCTGCCAGTGAAAAGAAGAGCAAACCTAAGGACTTGCCCCAATCAGCATCTACAGAGGGATCACTTCCCTGGACCTCTTAAAAGTACACACACACACACGGACTGGGCTAGGGAAGGGAAGGTTATTAAAAGGGGACTTCACTTTTAATCAGCTGTTCCGTATAATTCATCCACCCTCTCTGCACCACATTTGACCGGGCCCCAGAACTACTTCACCTGGGCAAGTGATGGAGCTAATTCAGCCATTAAGCGCTACTCTGTGGCAGGAAATGGTGTGCTGGGCACTAGAACTAAACCTAACCTGCCTTCTAAAGGACTAGGGCCCCCAGCGGCCTCGAATCCTTAACCAAGTTCCCCAAACCTACCTTCAGAGTCTCTCTCAAAGCACATGAGTTGGTCGCTGTTGCCGTCACCCTCTTCCTCCTCTTCCTCTTCCTCCTCAAACTCCAGATCCTGGCCTAGTAGCAAATCACTCTCCAACACCAGGGCCCCGGGTCCTTCGTCGAGGGAGTCCTCAGTATCCACTGAAGAGGAAAGGGGGCTCTTGGATTCTCCCTCCCGAGCTGTGCCCATCGTCCGCACCGGAGAACCAGCCCTCGTTGGCAGCACTTCCCGAACTCGGTGACCCTCTTCTGGTTCCCTCGGCACCTCGCTGGGAAGCCAGGAATCCAAAATGCTTGCCCCATCCCTCAGGAGTCCCCCTCCACCCAGACCCGAGCCCAGTCCACTGACCCCACCCCCGCTCCTCCCCCCTCAAGA